ATCCTTGTGTATCCACGAGTTGCATGATTTATCGAATCCCAACTATTTTACATAAACCTTATCGCCTTTTTTACACAACACTGTCTCTACCAAGTACACGATTGGATTGGCAACACGATGCAGTTCATACTCGTAGAAATCTCCGACTACAGGTTGTCCGCGACCCCTCCATGCCGTCACCTTATCGTGGTGGAGGAGTACTGGCGATCTGATGAAGGCTCGGCGGCAGTACCTTTCGGCTTCGGTCGGAAGGGAGGTCCCTACCTGAGGATCGCTGGCGAACGGCGGCAACGGGGAAGGAAAACCCCCACAGAAAACCGGACCGCGGTGGCCTGCAGCCCCGCGGTTGTTAAAGGGGGTCGTAAGACCCTCCACTGCAGGGGAGCCTGGCAACTCCCAGAGGGCCGATGGGCCCAATTGCCGGTAGGGGTTGGCGGCCCTGACTCCAATCGCCCGGCCGGCTGGGACCGTTAGGTAGAGCTTGCTCCACCACCAGTCTTCGGAGGGGGATTTTGCGGTTGGGGGGGCCTCCGCTCCGGGACGATAGGTCGTCCCGCGGGAGAAGATGATCCCGTATCTCAAAGCATTGCACGCCGGTTCTCCGGCAGCCGAGAGAGCGGGATGCTCTCGAATCGTCCGACGTCGGCGACAGCCAGCGATCGGATAGGGGGAGGAACCCACACCCGTGTCTGCACACTGGAAGCGCGCCTCACGGTACGCGGGGTGTGGAGGGGTGTCCGGGCCGCTCGAACGTATTTCCAGGTCTGGGTCGGACACCCTGGGATTGGCGCCGGCTATTCTTGCCGGCGATTTTTTCTCATGTTGGCAGCTGCGCACGGGAGTACTAGGGGAAAAGTGGCATTCAGTTGGACACAGTACAATTGGACACGTTGCAAATGGACACGGTGCAAATGGACACGGCACTTGACACACGGTTCAATTGGACACGGTGCGTTTGGACACGAAACTTTTGGGCACCGTTGTTTTTGGACACGAACGAAAATGCATGTCGTTTAGTTACACACCGTCCATTTGGACACCATTCAGTTGGAAACCGTTTACTTGGACACAGTTCAGTTGGACACCGTTCAAGTGCCCACTGTTCACTTGGATACAGAAGTATGCTCACTGTTCACTTGCACACCGTTCACTTGGACACAGAACGATGCGTGCTGTTCATTTGTACACCGTTCACTTGCACACCGTGGAATTGCTTGTCTGTTCACTTGGACACAGAAGGATGCGCACTGTTCACTTGGACACTGTTTATTTGGACACTGTTCACTTGGACATCGTTCATTTGGACACAGTTCACTTGGACACCGTTCAATTGGACACCGTTCAATCGCCCACTGTTCACTTGGACACAGAAGGATGCGCACTGTTCATTTGGACACCGTTCACTTGGACATCGTTCAGTTGCCTGCTGTTCATTTGGACACAGAATGATGTGCACCGTTTATTTTATGATCATTTAATTATGTATCGTTTGTTTATGCAATGGATATGCAACTGATGAGAAATAAAAAATAGTTTTGTAGAAAATATTTGTGTTTTTATTTCGTTTTTATCACATCCAACCACAACGCCATATGCCTAGAGATATTCTAGAGACTCTATAAACAACGACATATGATTGGATGTGTCCGTTTGTCAATGTGCGCATCTGGGACTCACTCCGATTTTCGTACTACTATTTGTGATGTAGAGTGTAAATTGTGGTTTTGATAATTATTTAGTTTAGCGGCAACACCTCCGATTTCGATGAAAATAGACTCAATCGACGCGTTTATGCATGCCAAACAACTTTTCCCTCTGACAAAATCGTCGCTCTTTTTTCAGCAAAGCGAGATATTAATAGACAAAGTTGAGGGCGTATTAGGTTAGAAAATCTGTCATACCATCTATTTCTAGCTATGTAACTGGGGGGCTTCGCCCCCCAGACCCCCCTATCACGGGGGGTGGGGGCTGTAGTCTTTTGTGAGAAATTCACTTTTTAGTTTAAGCACAAGAGACTATAGCCTCCACCCCCCGTGATAGGGGGGTCTGGGAGACGAAGCCCGCCAGTTACATAACTAGAGATAAATGATATAATAGATTTTCTAACCTAACACGCCCTCAACTTTGTCTATTAATATCTCGCTTCGCAGTAGAGAGCGACGATTTTGTCAGAGGAAAAAGTTGTTTGGCATACAAAAACGTGTCGATTGAGTCTATTTTCATCGAAATCGGAGGTGTTGCCGCTAAACTAAATAATTATCAAAACCACAATTTACACTCTACATCACAAATAGTAGTATGAAAATCGGAGTGAGTCCCAGTTGCGCACATTGACAAACGGACACATCCAATCATATGTCGTTGTTTATAGAGTCTCTAGAATATCTCTAGGCATATGGCGTTGTGGTTGGATGTGATAAAAACGAAATAAAAACACAAATATTTTCTACAAAACTATTTTTTATTTCTCATCAGTTGCATATCCATTGCATAAACAAACGATACATAATTAAATGATGATAAAATAAACGGTGCATGTCATTCTGTGTCCAAATGAACAGCAGGCAACTGGACGATGTCCAAGTGAACGGTGTCCAAATGAACAGTGCGCATCCTTCTGTGTCCAAGTGAACAGTGGGCGATTGAACGGTGTCCAAGTGAACGGTGTCCAAATGATCGGTGCCCAAATGATCGGTGTCCAAATGAACTGTGTCCAATTGAACGGTGTCCAAGTGAACTGTGTCCAAATGAACGGTGTCCAAGTGAACAGTGCGCAACCTTCTGTGTCCAAGTGAACAGACAAGCAATTCCACGGTGTCCAAGTGTACAAATGAACAGCACGCATCGTTCTGTGTCCAAGTGAACAGTGGGCAACTGAACGGTATCCAAGTGAACGGTGTCCAAGTGAACGGTGCCAAAATGAACGGTGTCCAAGTGAACGGTGTCCAAGTGAACATTGAGCATCCTTCTGTGTCCAAGTGAACAGTGGGCACTTGAACGGTGTCTAACTGAACTGTGTCCAAGTAAACGGTGTCCAACTGAACGGTGTCCAAATGAACGGTGTGTAACTGAACGACGTGCATTTTCTTTCGTGTCCAAAAACAACGGTGCCCAAAAGTTTCGTGTCCAAACGCACCGTGTGCAATTGAACTGTGTGTCAAATGCCGTGTCCATTTGCAACGTGTCCAATTGTACTGTGTCCAAGTGCACCGCTCCCCTAGGGGAAAGGTGAGCGGGCCCGGTTCGTCCATTAAGGGAGGCCGGTGCCGGTGAGCTGATCCCTACAGCGGGGGCGGCCGGGTCCCAAATGCCAGTACGGCAACCGGTTTTCTCTCTCTCTCGGGTAGCCGCTGCGCCGAAAGAGTATTTGGGGTCGGAGCGGCCGAGTTGCTCATCGGGCGGTCGGTCGGGTGGGCCCTTACAGCGGAGAGCCCGGGGGGCGGCGATTGCGACATGGTAAAGTCGCGGCCCCGGGCGGAGCATCAGCTGGCGCCCGCGGCGGTACGCGGCATGGGTGGGTCGTAACACCTTTTCGCCATTGTCCGTTTCGTGGGGTCCCCCGTGTGGCGGCGGCCCTGACGGTTCCCGCACAGTCGGAGGTGCGGAACCTCTGAAAGCGGTTCAGTCCCTTGTGAACTGGGGCGTGAGTAGGAGGCTGAAGTGCAGTGCGGAATTTCCAGGGACCAGTGGCATAGGATCTCTCCCGGCGAGTACGCCGGGCATCCTCCTTCTCCAATTGGGGGGGGGGAGGATGGGAGATTCACCGGAGGACCGAGCCGTCGGGGTTGGTGGGATACACTAC